TTTGGCTGGGACCTACCTGCTTTTCCCACCAGTGAGTCAAGAAGGAAGGGCTCAGTGTGCTGGAATCTGAGGGGAGAGCCTCTGCAGAAGCAGCACATGCTGGCCAGGCCCTCCTGCATGCTCCGCTTGGAGCAAAGCTGGAGCACCTCTGAGCAAACGTGGCTTCCTCTAATTAGGTTGGATTCAAGCAGGTCTATCGCTCTTAAACAATTTTTCTCATTGCATTCAATTAGGAGTATGATGGGGAGCGCAATTCTGAAGGTGAACGGCATGGACGTGGGAAAGCAGAGCTGCCCAATGGTGATACGTATGAGGGTGAATATGAGCACAGTCTCAGAAATGGGCAGGTGAGACAGTGACCAGACAGTGGCTGTGTGCTTGTGTTTCTGCGGTTCTGTGGGTCTCAGCACTGTACTGAAATAGTGAGAACTCACAAGTATTTTATCTATACCATATATCTTTCAGGGGACATACAGATTTAAAACTGGTGCTTTCTACATTGGAGAATATCTTCAAAATAAAAAGCATGGCCATGGTACTTTTTATTATCCAGATGGATCAAAATATGAAGGTAAACACTGAACACAGTTGCAAAGATTTCTGTAATTGAAAAGATGCGTTTCTTCAACTCCTGGAATGCAAGAAGATAGCAAAGTGGAGATTATTTTAAAAAGATGAATTTGCTATAAAACATTTTCCCGTTATTCCTTTTTTGCTATGAGCTCTGAGAGCAGTTTTATTTATTTACTTTATTTATTTAGGGGATTTACTTGGAATATTGTGATAAGTGTGGTATTTAGTAGCAATTTGTTCTAGATGTGTCCTTATTTCAAGTGAGGTATTACAAGTGTTGAGAAATGCCAAGCATTGTATCTAATCTGGTACAATCTTGATAGAAGAGAGTATAATTGCTTATATCTAATCATCTTTATGATGATTAGAATTGCTGTGTTCAGTGTAGAATCATATAATTATTTGAGATGGAAGGGTCCCTTAAAGGTCATTTGTCCCCTGCAATGAAAAGGGACACCTACAGCTTCATCAGGTTGCTCAGAGCCCTGTCCAGCCTGACACTGAATGTGTCCAGGGATGAGGCATCTCTAGGCAGACTGTTCTAGTGCCTTATCACACTCATTGTAAAAAATGTCTTCCTTATATACAGTCTAAATCTCTCATTTTGTAGTTTGAAACAATTACTCTCATCCTGTCACAACAGACCCTACTAAAGAGTCTGTCTCTCACTCTATTTCCCTTCTTCCAGAAGAATACCTAGCACTCTCCGAATATCAGTTAGGCTTCAAGGAACAGTCTTTGTCCCTTAAAGAAGGCAAGAAGGAACCTTCACACTGTGAGAGCTAAAAGCACGGAGCAAAAAGATCAGCCCAGTTATTGCTTATTGGATAGTATCCGTCTGTGATGTTTTGGTTTTTTTTTTAAAGTTTGAATAGAATAGTAATTAAGGCACAAAATCTAGCATTCATAGGACAGTTTTAGCAAATTAGCTAAACTAAACAAGAACTCATTTTGATTTTAAGTGGAGGTGTCACATGCAGGTAACTGAAAAAATATGTGAGGAGAGGGACAAACAGAAGGAAAAAAAAAAAAAAAAAAGAGCAAGGGCTTAGAATAAAGAAGGGTTTGATCAAGAAAAGAGTGAGAGGGGCCCAGAATGAGGTGGAAGGGAACTAGGGAGAAAGATTATGCCTACCTTTGAGTATAGTTACCTATAAAACTATCTTTTTCAAAGTGATCTCAAAATTGTTCTAGAGAGAGAAATGAGGAACTCCTGTTTGTGATAGCATGTCAGATGAAACCTAGAGATGGGAATTAAAAGGAAACAGTACATAACAGGATATGTCTTAAACCAGGACTAGTATAGTTGACATGACAAATACCCTGGTCGTCTGTTTTCATATTGTCTTCTTTGTATTGATTTTATAACTGTTGCTTAAGAAGTAACAAGTGAGGCAAAAAAATAAATAAAAAAAATGAAGGCAGTGGAGGTGAATGAGCAGGGAACTTGCAAAGACAGATAGCAGAACTTGGAAATTCTGTGTATGGGGTAGCCTTTCCTTGGTAACAAAGAGCAAAGAAGATAGTATCTGAATAGAGGAAGAAAATAATCTCAAGTGAGAACATTAGAACTTTCTTTGTCTCTAACGTAGAATTTGTTCATACACTTACACCCGGATCAAAAGATGGAAAGTGATTGGATAGTCTCCCATATGATGTTGCTATCTACCCTGTTGCATCTAATGATGGCTGTCAGAGTTCTCATCCATTTGTCAGATGTATAATAAATCATCTTTTTCTTTGCCAGAGTATCAGTACTTCATTGATATAATCTGTTTTGATATTAACACTGACATACTTAAACACTAATAGGCAAATCAGATATGCTTAGAGTTTAATTGATAAATGTTTCCCATTCACTTGTTCACTTGAGATTTTTTGTGTTCAGTGGGAGAGAGCAGGATTTGTTTGTTTTAGAAGTCAATCATAATGGTGTTGCAGTTTTCTTTTCCTTCTCTAATGAGGTGTATTCTCCACTTCAGCTAAATTAATAATGATGTTTTACAAACTGACCATTATATCACACAATCAAATATACCACATCTCACTAAGTTATTGATATGTTCTCATTAAAGGAAGCTGGGTAGATGATCAAAGACATGGCTACGGAGAATATACGTACGCAAATGGAGACACCTATGCTGGAGAATGGTTTAACGACAATAGGTTTGTTTCATTCTTATGGTGATGTTTGAAGTCATTCTCTGTAACATCACAATACGATGGCTATTTCAAAATGTGGCTGACTGCAGCAAATCAAGTGCTATTGGATGGCATTTGCAATTTAACCCAACTTCAGCCATTTCAGCCACTTAAAAAATACAGTTTTAATACCTTAAGTATAACAACAACCTATGTTCTTCGTATTCCATAAGATATTTTTTTTTCTCCCTAGGCATGGACAAGGTACATACACCTATAAAGAGACTGGATCTATGTATGTTGGTGGTTGGGTAAATGGAATCCAGGAAGGAGAAGCAGAGCTTATCCACCTAAATCACAGATATAGGGGCAAGTTTTTGAATGGAATTGTAAGTGTGCTAGAAAACGCTCAATTAATTTGAACAGTTAGCATAAAACTTTCTTAATGTGATCTATTTGCATTTAAAATGACAAACTAGATCCTGTTCTTGTGTAGTATTTCTTGTACCATAAATGAAACTGAATTGATCCGCAAGGCAAAAAGCCAAGTGTCTGTAACTTTGCTTTCAAACAGTATTACAGAATCACAGAATGGTTAAGGTTGGAAGAGACCCATAGAGGTCATCTACTCCAAATCCCTGATCAAACTGGGACACCCAGAGTAGGTTGCCCAGTACTGTGTCCAGGCACATTTTGAAGATCTCCAAGGAGGGAGATTTTACAGCCTTTCTGGCAACCTCTGCCAATGCTTCATTACCTTCACAGCACAGAAGTGCTTCCTGGTGTTCTATTTTGTACATATTGACTCTTGACTATGCACCACTGAAAAAAGCCTCACTCCATCCTCTTTGCATCCTCCCTTCAGATAGTTATAGGCGCTGATGGGATTCCCCCTGAGCTTCCTCTTGCACGGGCTGAACAATCCCAGCTCTCTCAGCCACTGCTCACAGGAAAAGTGCTTCAGTCCCTTGTTCATCTTTGTGACCCTCTTTTGGACTTACACCTGCATGTCCATGTCTCTCTTGTACAGTATTGTTATTGACTAATGTATGAATTTTGTAGTAAAGCACATTTTACATTTATATATGTAGAATTTCCTAACATGATAGTTCTACTGAGTTCTTTGCATCTCTTTTGTAGCCTGTAGGTCGTGGCAAATATATCTTTGACATTGGATGTGAACAGCATGGTGAATACATACGGTCAGAGGAGGTAAAAGAAATATTGAATGGCATACTGTGTATCAAATAATTCAGTAAATTACTGTTGATTATCATATAAAATACTTTAACATCAGTACAAATAGGGTATCCTAGATCTAAACAGTCAAAAAATGGTGCAAACTTGTGGTTTCTTCAGTACTAAGTAAGGTTTCATTCTGCTTTTTAAATTTATCTTCTCCACTGTGTAAGTTTAGACAACTATATGGTGTGATTTTTGCCCTGCTTGTAGACAGGAATACTTTCTTCTTAAACTTCAGAAGAATCAGGACTTGCCCAAAATATTTTAGGTTTATGTGGTTATAAACTACACAAGAACATAGATATTTGTCTGTAAATTTAACTGATGTTCCACTTTGTTCTGAACACCAGAAAACAAAGAAAATATTTATTATTGTATTTCTGAATTGCTTGATGCTACATCTGCAAAAGATAATTTGCAAAAGGTTCTTGTTTTGGAAACATGTCCCATTATTTTCCTGGTCCTGTAAGAAGCTTGATTTTCATAGCTACTAATTGAAGAAGCAGCTGGGATGAAGGCTCGTTTTTAATTCGCCTTCATGCATGAACTTTACTAAGTCTTTCTGATTAATATGATACAAAATAGCTATCACAATAAGAAATGTATCTTAATATTTTTATTTCAAGAAAATATTCCACATTATACCTGAGCTCTATACCTCTGATGTCCAACACATTAATTCCCATTACATGCTCTTTAAAAATTCTCTAATACAATATTTGTTTCATGATATAATTTCACTAAGTTTCAGCTTTCTTCTACTGTATGCATTTTACCTTTTCCAAAATTTACTTTTTTTATTTTTCTGTTTCTCTACACTGGATCTGTAATTTTTTATCAATGATATTTGGCTATTATCTTAAAAAACAGAACAATATTCCTTTGAGAGAAGTGATGCTTGAATAGGTCCCTCTCAGCTATTCTGTTCGAGGGAGAGACAAAATTTTATCTTTAAGAAAGAAAACTGGCAAGCATAGCTCAGCAGTATTGGTCAGCCAGTTTCAACAAGGTTTGCAAGATTTGCTGTTGAATTTCCTCTTCTTGTCAGTGCTTTAAAAGGCTGTCATGATGCCATTTGAGCCCAGGTAAAGAGCTTTTAATGCACAAAATCATCTTAGCTACTCCTTTAATACTTATAAGAAGAGACCCTGGATATTGAAAATTGTCTTTTAGGATAAAGGGGAGGAAGAAGAAGAAGAGGAGGAGCCCTCTTTACTTGCTGCACCGAAGTGGAAAGCAACACAAATCACTAAATTAATACACTGGGTGCCCAAAATGGAAAAAGCACCTTCTCCCAGCGAAGGCCCCCCAGCAGCAGCAGCAGAGACAGCAGCTGCAGATGAAGCAGTGGAAGAAACAGCAGCAGATGAAAAAGAAAAAATGCAAACAAATGCAGGTTTGTTCTGTTGGACATCTAGAAACCCTATATTTTGACTATCCTGTGAAACCATGTTTTTCATATTTAATTACTGTGAGAGGGATTTTTTTTTCTCACATTTTTTACCCTACATTTAATACTGGGGATTTCCAGGCCTGTTTGTAAATGTGACAGTATATATACACATCTGTTCTATCTCACATAGCATAAGGTACAACTATCTTGGGAAGCCTGTGAATCATTTTAGTCTACGTCATCACCTCTTATACAAACTTGATTATAAATTATTGCAAAAATATGTATGGGTTTTCTCACGTGAGTAAAGTCTGAAGAGTTCAGACAGTTATTAGTTGTGGCATGAAAACAATGAGTGCAAATTTGTAAAAATAAATTTTCCTCTAAATTTCTAATTTCTCATATTTCAGTCATTGATGAATCTGCTGAACACAGGGATGATATGCCTTCTCTTCATAAAGTATCTAGTGAAGTTTTTAGCCCAACAAAGGATGCAGAAGAAGAAGATGAGGGTATAAGGGAAGAAGAAAATGAAGAAGGAGAAGAGTACCAAGGTGAGGAATGATGGAGATGTGCTTGTTCTTCCATGTTCAATCAGGTTTGGAAATGATGCATGTCAATTGACTTTTACTGGGAGGCCCATTATCAGGCTAAAGAAAACATGGGAACTCCACCTATTGTCACAGGATAGAGCTCCTCTAAAGCTGTAAACTGGTTTGAGTAGTCAAATTCATATATTTAACAGAACAAATCAGTGATACTGCAGTGCAGCATTACCTGTGCAATACAGAGCTGACAGTGCTTGAAGAACTGAGTTTAAAAGTGATCACATTTGCAAGCTTCCTTTTGTACAACCATGAGAGAGTAGACTGGGGAATTCAAGTATTTTTGAGCACACAATTTTTCTATCATGAATAGAACTGTATGTTCTTGTCCTCTCACGTTAAATAAGAAACAAGTCTTAGGTATTGTTACACATTATGATTTGGAGACACAAAGGCTAGTATCTCATTGATTGTTCTTAAAAGGCAAAGAGCTTTGAAATTTGGATGCTCAGGTTTTCCTCCAGGCAGTTCGGAATCCTGTTTTTATAGAAAATTACAAAAAGGCAACATAAAAGGAAGCATCTGTGTTTACCCATACATAACTTATAAGCCTCCATTCAACTGTGCTTTTCGCATTTGTTAAATGTTAACAAACTTCTGAGGTAGGAAAACATTAAATAAATTTCTCCATCTGTTGTCAACACATTTTATAATAAATCAAAGCAAAGCACTATCTTAGTGATCAGAAAGACTGTAAAAGAACCTTGAAAATTGCACAGAGGTATAACATAAACATTAAGGGCAGGTCTTGGAATTCTGTTAATTTATTTGCTCTCATTTTTCACTCATCACCTCTCATTGTAATCTCTTGCTTCAGCACAGACTAGCCAATGAGATGATCAGGTGTATACAACTGACATCTTACAGGATCCCTCAGCTGATCCAGCAGAAATCAAAGCAGGCTTCCTGTGTAGCTCTGCTTTGGAATTGGCAAGAGTTCATTGAGCTTGATTTGTCTCAAAGTCTGCTGGACTCAAATAATTTTTTATTGAACTTGATTCCAACAGATTTTCTGGCATACTACAGTAAAGTAGATCTGGTATCCTCATTGTTTTTTTTTTATTATTAGTAGTAGTATTTTTAAGGGCAGCTTTCTATGAAACTCCTCTAAATAGGAGATGTTCTTTAGCTATTCCTGAATTACATATGGACTGGCTGGTGGTCAGTGTGTATAGAGTCTGACAGCTGAGAAACAATTTATGTCAGTTAAGTTCAATAATTGGCAGCAAAGGGCAGTAGGAAGGAGGGCTGGAGTAGACAGCATGATTCTGGAATTATGTTTTAAACTACTAGAATTGCTTTCCAGTATTTTATTACAAAATTCATTTCAGTTTTCTGTTTATTTTTTTTAAACTTTACCTCCACAGGAACTGCTAGTTTAGAAGATGAGGAGGAATCAGAGGAAGCAGAGTAATTGGATACAACTAAAGACAAACATAAGTAGAAAAGGAAATTGAAGAGTAAATCATTAGTTAAGGTAAACCTACAATATTTTTATTTGTATCTTTGTTATTTTTTGAATAAACATTTCTGTCACTGTTCTGTCTGGAATATACCTCTCCAAAACTTTTACAATCCCAGAGTGTGCCATCTCAGGACCACTTCATTCCATAGCGTCAGGCAGTTGTTGAATTCAGTATGGGATAATTCTGGATCTATAAAGTTGAGTCCTCGTACATTCATGGAATCAAAGTTTTGAAACACTTGGCATGATATTTCTAAGGCAGAACATATATGCATCCAGTAACTGACTGGACCACTTGTGCCTGTAGTAATTAGGTTGCTTTTGGTGATCTATGTTCATTTCTTCACAGGAAGATAGATGATTTTCAAACCTGATGAATACATCAGCATTGCCCAAAACTTCAGAACATCACATCCATCTTGGGAGTTAGTTAACATGCTCAAATATGGTCTTAGAATCTTTTATGTTGGAAGTGAACTCAAGAACCCCAGAATGCTGTGTGTATCTACTATCACTGGACAATCAAGTATAGGGCCACATTATTTACTTACTGTAGGCTGTTATCACTGTTCTCCAAGATACCAAGCTTAAATATCTCCTTACCCAATTTGCAAACCTGTTGGCAGAGATGCTGTTATTCCACTTTGTTAAATGGCTTCTGTATTTCCTTTTCCCTTCAAGACTGACCCACGGTGATGAAAATTGAAGTACTACCTTTAGCAACAGCCATATTATCAGCTGTTAATGCCCAGGATTGCATCCTCTCCTACTTGGCCTCTTCCAATTGAGGATGAAGGAGATATCCTGTGGGTTCCCATGTCCTTTACCAGAATCCTGTAGTTACTCTTATTTTGCTCCAGGTCTCCCTCGGTAGTGTAATTGATATTCATACCAATGAACAAACAAGGAAGTAATGGTCACTGGACAGGATGAATTTTGGCCATACTTCTACAATACCCACAGTCTGGTCACTTGTCAAGCAGCAAGCTTCCCACAACAGCATATCTGGTACACAGACAGGTGTCTCTCGTACATTCCTCGTACATTCATGGAATCAAAGTTTTGAAACACTTGGCATGATATTTCTAAGGCAGAACATATATGCATACAGGTGTCTCTATCCCCTACTGGGATAGACCTCCAGCTGCTAACACTTTCTGCTTCTTTTTAGTATTGATGCTTCATATGGGGCCAGTTAGCTTCGAAGCCTCCCTTTACATCCTCTGTTCCCCTGCCATGGCTATTGGGCCTCAATACCGACCCTCTACATCCAGGTCTGAGCAAGAATGGTGGAACATTTCTCCTACTGCCAGAAGTTATGAACTTTAACAAACTCCCTCCCCAGGGGAGAATCCTTCCAACACTCCATCCAGTGTAGCCCCTAGCCATTCCCTCAACCTCAAAAGTCAGGCTTTTGCTTCTACAGAGACCCTGCTGATACCTCATTTGCCCTCCTTACTGATACACAGTCTCCATACCTCCTACAGGTCTTTTATGCAATCATGCAACATCTAAATCACTACACAGAGCCTCTCCAAGATACAACATCCTCCTGCCCAATCCAGGTCTAGACTGACACTACTGATATGCCAAGGATATGTACTTTCTCTTTTGGTAGCAGAGGTCAGGCCCAGCAGCTCACAAGTGTTGGTGAGCACAGTCCCACACTGACTGGAAGAAAGTTTCTGCCTTCCTACAGCACCCCAAAAAACAAATAAAACAACTTAAAAAAAAAATAATCCACCTCCACAAAAAAAGAAAAAAAAACAAAACCAAAACAACAAAAAACCCCAACCATCAATCCCTAATGAGAAGGAACCTGTCAATCAGAAGAGAGCTACCAGGAGATTTCAGCTGAAGAAGGCCTTCAGAAGCTACCAGAATTGAATCAAATGGCATTCTATAAATAGTAAGTTAAAAGTAAAGAGCAAGGTAGAGCTGCACAAAATATTGTGAAAGCAGAATTTGCTACAGACATGTATTTTCCACTTCTTCAGGTGGAAAAAGAAAAGCTGTTCTGAAACATTGTTTTCCTGATAATATATAAACGAAACCTTAATCATTAAGAGATGCATCTGTTTAAGTGACTTTCTTATACTTCTGAGAATACTGGCATGAATGTTGATGGACTTGGAGTTTGAGGCAGAGTGTTGCTGCCCTGCAGCAGTTTGCTTTTGAAGTAAGGTAACTGGTTTGGGCCTGATTAGGGTAAGAGATGTTGAGCTGGCATTGCTGAAACAGGACTTGAATTTTTTTTATTCATAAATTTTAGTTTGTCGGAAAATAAAACTTTTAAGAAGTTCCTTTTCTCTACAACTCAACAACTCCAGCAATGATATGCCAAGAAGTTTAAGCTAGTGATAAATATGGATTAAGAGAAAATGGGGGTATTGAGGTGAGTCACACGAAATAAATAGAGTTTATTACTTCTTCCTGAAATGTTTCTCCTATCAGAAATGTCATAGTGAGAAATTTCCCATGTAAACTTTTCCCCAAAGCCTTACATGTCTTTTTTATTTTTTTGGCAGTTTCTTCTCACATCATTGTGACTTCAGTAAGCATTTTTAGAGGTGATTGTCTTTTCCTCTTTTGGCTTTCTTTGGTGAAGAGAAGTGCTGTGTTATTACAATAGCTTGATCAAAGCATACTTGGCTTAGTAATTTTTTTATTTTTAATAAAAACTTACAAATCATTAGTTTATCAGCTGTTTACTCACTATATTTTACTGTAAATTTGAGAAACATCAACATAACGCATTTCCCAGTTCAATTCCATTTAAAGGTAATCTTCAGTTCAGGAAGAGTTAATTCTTGAAGGATTTAAGAAATTACCTTTTCTCCTTCAGCACCCAGTGCTGTACTCTTTATTAGTACATTAGTGACCTCCAGTGGCAAAGCTGCGAAAAGTGCAAACTGTCTAGAATACAGCTAAGAGCATCTGGAAGCCTCTGTGGGTTAGAAAGGGCCCCTGAGAAGATGGTTTACTCCTTTGGGAAACCAATGCTTTTGTAGAAGGCGGCATTTCATTGCACCGTAACTTTCAAAAATACTGTAAGGATAATTTGTAAACTCATTAATAACAATTCCTTCATCCCTATTTTGGAGACAAACATCTGACCGAAAGTTGTTGTACTGAGGTGTGCTAGTCCCTCTCATCCTTCTGCCTCTTCACTTTTCAGCCATGAAGAAAGACAACAGTAGCCATGTTTGAGACCTGAATAATATGCTGAGCATAAGAATCAGAAAACACGGTCATATTTCACTTGCAGAGCTGTATCTTCCCCAGAGATAGGATTCTTTCCACAGTGAAGAAGGAAGCTCACCAAGAGGGCCCATTGCATCTAAAGAAGGCACCTGGAGTTCTCCAGTTCATCTCACACCAAGAAAGTCTGGAGCACACCTAACTTCCTGAAAGCGCAAATATTTTAAATTCCTTCAGAGAGATGCCTATTTTACATTCACAGCTGGGGAAACAAAACAAAACAAAAAAATGGTTTAATTGGAAGAGACCTTAAGGACCATCTAGTTCCAACCTCCTGCCATGGGCAGGGACATCCTCCACCAGACCAGACTGCCAAGAGCTCATCCAACCTGACCTTGAGCAATACCGGTGACGGGACATCCACAGTTTCTCTGGGCAGCCTGTGCCTGTACCTCATAAGGAATTTCTTCCTTATGTCTAATCTTAATCTACTCTCTTTTGGTTTTAAACCATTATCCCTTGTTCTAATACTACATGCCTTTGAAAAAGATTTCTTGCTCTTTTTCTTATGATCCTCCCTTTCAATTATTAAAAAACTGCAACAATTTACCCACATACATGCCCCAAAAGGTGATGTCCTCTTGAAATGGTCCTTGGTAGCCTTCCCTATTCAGCCTGTAGACTCAGCAAAGAGATTTCCTAAGAGACTTAACAGGACATGACTACAGAAAGGCAGTGCACACATCGCTGTGTTAACTCTTACATTCACCAAGAACACTAGAATACTTTGCAGGTAACAGCTAAAGGTCCATAAGTTGTAGCCACATTATTACCAAGCAGTTCTTGAGCTAACTGATGCTATTGCTAACTAGAGTGAAAAAATGTCAGCATTGTTCTGAGAGCGTTTATCCATGTGTGGCATGGACACAAAGATCTCTGTGCAAATCACTACTAAGCCATGTGGGCAGGTGAAGAGTGAAACTACAGCAAAGAAGATGGTGTTTTGCCTTTTAGCCCTGCAGAAGAACAGATAACTAGAGAATCTGCAATTTTATTTGTAGGTACATTCCTTATTCTTCCATCCAGAATACACGGTATGGCTCCATTCACGAAGGAGGGCAACTGTTTATGATGCATTTGCCAATCTACAAAATCACAGAGATTTTCACTGGCAGAGGCATTTACACAAATGACTCTTTTTAAAAGGCTTTTAAAATAGCACAGTTACTTTCAAGTGCTGTACAGTTTCTGAACCTCCCTCCAGTACAGTGATGTAGTAGATGATATTAAATTGAACACCACAGTGTAAATTAACAACTTCTGACACAAGTTCTGTGCGATCATAAAATCCCATTTCTTAAATACATCTAGCTTGTTATTTTTTTTCTAAAAGACTGATGCTTCAGAAAGCTTCTTTTGAATAAGCTGGTACTTTTTATGAGCTGGTACTGCTAATAGGTTATATTTCATGTTTTATATTGCATTGTATTATTTATTCAGTGTTCGTGCCCACAGGTAACAAGAGAAACCTAGCAGATCCTTGAGAAACAATGTTTTAGCAACTAAAAAAGTTAGGGTAAAATGAGCCCCAAAAGACAGAAGTAAAGTCATTATATTTTAAATGTATTCTGTCAAAATTGTATTGGTGAATTTACATAAACAAATTTGCAACATAAATCCCTGCTGTGGATTAGAAAATATTTGTATGTTAGCAGCATCTCTATTTGCTTTTCCCCTCCAGCGAAATATGAGCAGCAATGTGCTTCAGATTTAAGCTCTTGATCTCCAAATGGTTAATTACACAAGTAGTTCCATTAAAGAGGCACGCGGGTGAGTTGAGTTGAATGTTTTTTATCATCATGCTCCTATTTTTATTTTTTGTGAGAGGTAGGAGATGCTGCATCCTGAGTTTCCTTACCAAGAGTAAAGGAAGCTCAGGAAGATGCCAGCTGGAGGTTTTGCACAAGTTTTCTCCATGGGAGTATGCAGAGGTCATGTCTACACAGGTATTCAGCACTGACTTTGTGCTATAAGACATTCCTAAGAACTACACCAGATTTGGGACCAGGTTTGTTTTCCAAACTCATCAGCCTCAGGACAGTAAAATTCTCATGAGCTCCTTCTGTTAGAAGTCCACAATATATTTCTCCTCCAACTGAAAAGAGCATGGAGAAATAGCCACTAAGTTATTTATTTAACCTGAGGTTTCTCATGGTAGTACAAAATGGTGTAGGATGGACTCATAAGTCATCCATAGGGCCCGACTTCTGAGATAAGCACCCATGAACCTACCAGTTATCTTTGCTCCCAGGCCAATATGGAGAGTGTGCTCCTATGTTACCTTCTCACAAAAGAGACTGGGGTGTTCTGGTCTTTACCACAGCTTTTAAATGCTTTCTCAATTTGTCATCTGTACTGGCCCGTTGCTTAACTGGGGTCACAGATTTGAAGGTTTGTGTTAAATAGCAAACCTACCAAATGAATGCAGAAAACAATATTGATGGTTGATTCCCTTTAGGGAAGTACAGAAGCTTAAGTAAGAAGAGTGGGAATATCAAAAGCAGATTGGCAGGATCTGAAAGAGATCTAAAACATCTATTTCAGCAGACATGGCCTTGCAGATGGATTAGTGGGTTTACTAGCCTATACTGTTCCAGTCTTAAAGGCCCCTCCTAAGCCAAACCATTCTGTGATTCTATGATTCCGTGAACTACAGAAATGGAAGAAAACAGGTGAATGGACAATTGCTGCTGCCAGAAGATGCTGAAGCTACTTTTGAACACAGCAGACTACTGGGAATTTGCTTCCCAAGCAAAGTCCTGTGCTCGGGGAAAGAGTGAGGCTGCAAGACCCGCTGAGAGTTTCCTCCACAAGACATGGAGGAAACAATAAGAACTGCGAATCCAAGACTAGTTATCAGCTTCTCAAGCTTCACACAATAATTGCTTTGATGTCATGATTAAAAAACAGAATATTGCTGAAGGATATAGACACTAAACACAGTCCTAAACCAGATGTTAGAGTCAATTGACCTCTACAGACCTTCTGTGAGAGGTATCAGATCTCCACAAAAAGCTGGACTGTAAAATTTGATGATTCACTAACTCCTTCATATGCACCAGAGAACAATATTCTGTTTGTTCAAAACTTTTATGCTGTTCCCAAATCCAAGGAGGCACGAACATTTTAATTTTTAATCATCCATTAAAAAAAAAAAAAAACCACTAAAAGATCAAGGGCAGATCCACCAAAAACTGCTGCATGCAATCTTTTCAAAAAATATCCTTGCGCTCCAGAGTACTTCAGTAATAAATCCTCCAAGACAGTCAAAAATCTACCTGACAGCTTTAATCAATGCTTGATGACTTAAAATGGTGCAAAGGGGACAGAAATAACTACTGCTCTGAGTCAACAGATTTTCACATTTGCTTTGAACAAATATCAGTGCTGGCAAAGGGCTTCAGAAAAATCAGGACAGACACCACAGATTTGCTCTTTTGTTTTTCAGAAGAACTGGACTCAAGTGTCTCTTCAAGTTGTGTGCTTAAAATCGTGATTAAATGATGAATTTCTTTGTTATTGTCTTTTCAAAGAGTATGGGTGGAGTGACTAATCTAGTGTTCCTCATTCTTGTTAAAAAACAGTATGCATCGCTTCCCTCCTCCCCCATCCTTCAATCACATCTAAAGATCCTATATAGGCATGTAAGGCTGAGGTTTTCTTTTCCCACAAGGTGTCACCAGAGATTAACTTCGCTGTACGTCTTTAACAAATGAATTTACATATTCAGTTTTTAAGATATAAGCAAAACATTCAGATCTTCTATGTGCTACCAGAATTATCTGTTAAAGTACACAACTTTGTAATGAAACAGATCCAACTAAAGAGAATTACAATAGGGTAATATCTAATTTTGAAGCTGCATGAAAAAATCAAGAAACCGTGGGATTTTCCATTTCTTTTGCTTACTACAAATCAAATCAAATCAAAGCTTTACCTGTGTTCAGCAATTTATTTCATATGATGAATACATCCCATCAGGAATTCTGTCTCTCTTCTAGGCACCAGTTTTTACAACTAAGAATCCTTGTAGATTCTTAGATTGTAGGTTGTAGAAGAAAGATTGAATTGCAGCTCTGATCCTACAAAATATTTTTTGGAGCTGAGTCTATGCTCATATGGGGTTCTAGGAAAGCCCAAAAAGGGGCCCATGTGAGTAGAAGAGCTTGTCCTTGCCCTTTCATTGAGCCTCAGATACAATTGCCACTTCTGTGCCTGTTCAGTTAATTTGGATGGTTGAAATAAAGTCTGTAAAAGCTGAAACAAAACTTTGCAACAAAACTTTTCTCCTCTTCAGCTCAGTGGTGCAGTATGAGGTTTAGAAAACACCACAAGAAAAATATTTAAGTCCCTAAACCCTCTTTCCTACATGCTCTGAGGTTTAATTCACTGCATTCAACAAATTTGAAATTATTGGAGTGCATATGTAGTGAAAACCAACACACTGTCTTTTTCTGTGGTGCGAATGTCTTAACGACCTTCCTACCAGGCATATTTGGTTTGCAAATGGGATTCTTGGTGCTCTGTGGGCTCTCTGCATGATAGAATTGAGTAAATCGGTTGAATTCCTCCCCTATGCCCCCACCTGTAAGGAAAGCCCTGCCAAACAGGGCTTGCTAACTTAGTAACGTGAACAGGGGTAGAGAGCAATAAACTGGCTGTTAAAAGCATTCTGCAGGTGGAGAGGCATGAAAAGCAAAGTATTTCATTACTATGTTGTGTACAGTGGTAAAAGCACAAGAGAGCTGTTCAAAGAAACAGGAAGACACTGTACCTGCAGATCACCGCTCTAGTGGAGCCACACAGAAAATGGATCTGATGCTGCTCGATGAAGAGAGAGGAGGTGTTTTGTGTTTTATTGTTTTAAAGGAAGATACAGGTGCCATTTCAGCAGTGAGCTTTTTCCCTTGTCACATGAACTGAGAGCACTGCCATCGCTCCTGCCCCTCCTTATCTTCACCTGGGCTTTTATTTAGCTCCAAACAGTGCACGTGGAAGCGTCACCAAACACAAGACTTCTCCCCTTATGCCATGCCCAAGCATGTGTCATGCTGGAGCAGAGAGGCCCTGCTTGCCATTTGCCTGCATTTCTTCTCACACAGGGAGGAGGGATTGCAGATGGGCTGAGGCCTGAGACACAGACTGTAAAGCTGTCTTTGAGCTCAAAAGGGAACTTGTCAGAGGTGAGGGACAATAGCAGTGTGAAACAGCAGCAAAGTACAGCTGCTCCCATGCATTAAAACAGAGCCATTTCTCCATCTGGAGGCTGTATTCCTAGAAAAAAGCTCAATTCAGAAGCCCACACCAACGCCATCACATACAGACAGTCAGAGTCCCAGGCACCACCCTCTTACATTTGGGCTTCAGTCTGCAGTGGCAGCTCTGGCCTTATGTATTCCCCAGTGGCACCTGTGATACAGATTGCAATCACTTGGTGAAATCAGAATAAATCTCACCAAAAGCAACAGCATTCACAGATAGGAAGATCCCATGGGCAATGAAGGAGAGCTGGTACTTCAGCTGAAATGAAGCTGGAAGCACCAGGGAATAACATGCCCAGGGCCAGGTCCTCATCCCATGCCACTCCTGACCCCTTGGTGTCCAAAGCTATTTAAAAGAACAGGCACCCAACCATCCTTGCTGGATCTGGGAAACCAAAATGAATGATTTCAGGTGCAAGACTGAGACAGGAGATCTCCATGTCATTGTTAAAGGAGGTTGGTGGATGCCCCACATCCTGTGTGGTGTGCTGGATGGGCTCCCCTTGTGTGCCCTCAAGCTATAGGCACAAGTGCAAAGAGATGTCAAGAAAGACCTATCAAGAAAGAACAGGGAAAAGAAGAGTGATGATGAGACCTTTTTTTTTTTTTTTTAACCATGTAAAGAGAGAAAGTGAAACCTCAAACTTTCTGCTTTCCTTGAAAGAAAACCTAGTGCTTTCCTAGAGGCAGTTATCTGAGAGGATCATTTGGAAAAGAAGCTCAACATGCCTGTAAAGGCATGTTCCTGTTTGTGCATAAAATTTTTAATCAAACAAATAATCAAGCAAAGAGCTACAGAGACCAGTCAAACAGAGACCATCTGGCAGTGTGCCACCATTTATATGATTTGGCACAGAGCAGCACACAGCATGGCTGTTGCCCTGTCAGTGCCATCTCAGGAAGTGTTCAGCAGTCAGAGTTGCTCAAATCAAGGTTTTGTCACCGTATCACTAAAGCATCTTTGTTTGTCCCAGTAACACTAAAGCAATTGGTTCAATTTTCTCTGAAGGAAAGCCTTTTTTTTTTTTTTGCAACACCGATCACTGTGGAAACACTTAGTGGGAGAATTGCTGTGGTAGAAGATGAACCTACTTTGTAGCAGAGGTAAACATGTTGTCTGTATGGTATTTCCCCTCCTCCTGGGCTCTTGCAGAACTGGAGGAGTCAACAGGAAACCAACTGGCCTTAGGTAGAGCTGATATCTGCGGGTAGGAGACTGCTTTTTTCAATCTCTATTTCTCTGGCTGACTGAAAATATAGAAATGCATGAAACAAGTAATTTTTACTGCATCTGAACTGGTTGTATTTTGGTCTTGGAAGATGTAATAATGTCTACTAGAGTGCCTTTAGCAGTAGAATTTGCTCTCTTGTATGCCAGGTCCTATGTTCTTTTTCCTCAGTTACTGAGAAGAAAGCAAAGTTCAGGCACCAAACTGCTTTCTGTGCTTTGACTACTCAGAGAGGACAACAGACAACTCTCATCCACTCTAACTTTTCTAGATGTATCACTGGACTGTGCTGTACCATAAGCTATCTTCAGATTGTTTTTGGCAGCTGCAAGGACAAAGCTGGCCTTCTAACCTTCCATGATACTATTTCTCCAGTTAAATGCTGCATTTGCTCCGTGAGTTAATGTCTTCACTGGAGGGTTAACCATCACCCATTTCTTCTCCTCTTTGAGCTCTTCACAGAAACACATGCCTAGAGAAGGGATCTAGGAAGGAAGGATACAAGCAGCAGTTACTAGCAGGGTCATTGCTTTGGTTTTGCAGCAGAACTGAAGAGCAGATTCTGAGACCATTCTGAAGACAGAGCCTGGAACATTTTGCCACTTTTGAAACAAACTGAAAACAGGCTGGATGCTTGTGGTGCAACAGCTGAGCTTGTGCCATCACCCTGAGCTCACACTTGGATTTGAAAATCAAGATGTATTCACTCCTTATGCATCAACTGTAGATAGTAAAAACATGTCTAAAGACTGAATTCTCCTCTTAGTAATACCAAGGCAGATGATAAGGAAAACTGGAGTGAAAAAAATCTGCCACTGCTGATAATACACAAGTAAAACAAGCAAAAAAACCTCTACAACAAAGTCTCAAGGGCCTCACTTGTGAAGCCTTCTCTGCTTTGCACTGTAGCTGAGCACTGAAGCTGTGAACTTGCAGTGACCTGAAAATGTACAATTTAAAGAGTCACTTACTGAAAATAGCTGCAGTTTATGCTCATAACACTATGAGGAGAAGGAAGGCTCTTAGTCCTGCTTCTATAGTTAGGAGGCTCATGCCAGAGGGAGAGGTTTCCACATGCCTCACACATGTAGCTGCTACCTGATACTGACTTTGCATGGGCGTTGAATGAAAATCTCCTAATATGTTATTTAACAGGACAAAATTCTTCTCTTGACCACTAGTTCTATGCTAAAACTAAGCAAGACAGATCCTTTTGTGCTGAGAGAGCTAATGTCAATGGTATTGACACGTCATTACAAGTCTCATTGCCTGGGAAAGCTCAATACTGAAAGTACTGAAACACATACAGAAAGCTGCCCACTGAATAAAAAGTCTTACCTTTCGGACCACATGGGCAAAGTCGCTGCTGTCTTTGGCAGGGAGTCCTGTCAGAGGTTGGGTGAAAGATACCAAGGAAGAGCCATGCCCCACAATGAGGATGATACCTGAAACACCATAGTAAGAGAAGGAAGGTAGTTAGGGAGTTGTCTGACTTTGCAGACATCTTTGTTAATGTGGCAGAGTGTACTGTGCTGGTCAGAAGAAGTCTGATGTGTTGCAGACAAGCCAGCTAGTGAGAAAAAGTATTTGCTCAGTGAACAGCTTTCCAGAAATGGAATTTTCTTATGCTGATCTGCATCCCTAGGCACAAGTAGAATGACCAAGGTATACACTCTTATAATTTTTTACTGCCTTCTATTTAAGTTTGATTTTTCTTTTCTGTTCTATAAATTGTATTTATTTTGACTTAGTACAGGCCAGGCCAAGAACTACAACCCTACCTTGAACTCTGTGCAATACAAATAATCAATGATAAATGTGCTTCTGTTGACAAACCCATGCCTATTCCTGATACTGAAAGTGTCTTGCAGAATACACAAAGATCTGAAACCTTTACCTTTGTTGGGGCAGGCAGTGACGATCTCTTTTATAACTGCAGAGCTTCTGCTCACATATTCCTCATAACTTTCTGATGGGACCAGAGAAGAGAGTTGGATGTTTCCCCTGACAATATAATCAGAAATATGTTTTAATCTAGATGAATGAATGAACACGAGAGGAGGCACTTGGTTAAAAGGATGTGGTTTTATCCATTGACTTTACTGATATACCAATACCTCAACAATTCACATTAAAACTTACACCTACATCTTGTAGTTCATAAAGCACCAGAAGCAGGGAAAACCATGCTTTAATAAAACCCTTAGTTTACAGTGGAGATTGTCTAAACCAAGACCCATCCCAAAATTTCTCAAGAGCTTCTTTGACCCATCTGTGTCCATACTTGGGAAAACATGGCAGAGCCTACCATGTCTTGATGCACAGTAGCTGCTGGTGCCAAGGATAGGCAGCTGGGAAGGCCAAATTCCTAGTGATAGAGCCCTACCAGCCTCCCCAGTGCTGTGGGTATAGCAAAATATTCAGCAGGACAACAATGATTTGCTGCCTCTCAACAGTCTCCTTGCTTTTCTTGGCTGATGCTTAAATTAGGGATTCTTGGCAACAGAATTCAGCTTCCTCAAACTCATTTCCTATTTTTCATATCATCCTCTGAATCGGAGAGCTAGAGAAATTCACAGCCATGGCTGGCAAGTATGATTATATGATTAGCCATGTGCTGTGACACAATCCAGAATGCTTATTTCTTTCTACAAAAAACTGCCCTGCTGTTTTGATAGTCTCCTTTTTCAGTGAATAGATAGAAGAGAGATTAGATTAATATATTGTAGTAAGGTTTGATATCAAAGTGTACTTTTACCAGTGAGTCCTTGCTACATTTCAGGTAAATTACAGCAGCACAAACTACAGAAGTAGAAAATAAGTGGTAAAACCGTGTGGCAGGCCCATGCTAAATTGTTAATCATAGCTAATGCTAATTCTGGCTAAGCTAACTCTGCTGATGGAACAGTCTGGGACTTGACCCAGGTGAAAGCTGCCCCTTGAAGTGAGTGAATATGGTAAAACTACCTCTGCAACCGGAGGATTTTGAACCCTGTACATGACAGCAAGAAAGTGGCATCAAATGTGCAGGGTTACAGTTTATCCTCTCTGCTTTTGGCTGGACCTGAGTGAGCTGCAAGGCTGCAGCTGGCACTGCTGCAAAGCTTTCCTCTCCACTTCCTGCTGCTCTACACCTGCACTCTGTCCTGTGTGGAAATTTGAAGAAAATGATCTCATATTGAAAAAACTGTTGAAAAACTTTAGAATGACCTATGACCCATGATAGGAAAGATTTTATTCTTTCACAAAGTTTAAAATGAAGGTGCTCACTCGGCTGTAAGAAATACATTATGAGCTGAGAAGTTCCTTTCCCTCCTTCTTACACTGGGACACCTCAGACACGCTCACTTTTATTAGCTGAGCAATTTCCTGGAACCGGCTGTGCACTGCACACACGGAGCAGCCCCAGAGAGCACAGTAAGCAGCTAGGTAAATTGGAGCTCATTCATTTCCTGCTCCTCTGTGGTTTGCAAGTGCTCAGAAATAGCATCAGTCCCCTCTCTCAACTCTGGGGGCCCCAAAAAAATCCTTGCTGCAAGTCAAAACATAACAACTCCCTCCTCGACTGAGTTTGGCATGAACTGTCCTGCTGCCCCTCCGCTCCCCCCAGATCACAAAGAACGCTGGCTCATGTTGGGAACACCTCTCTCAACCCAATGGATATGAAAGCAGCACCAGAGCAAGGCTAATGCTGGATGCAAGGATCAGGTGTGTGCCCATTTCTAAAAATGCCCATATTGTCTCCATGTTAGAGCAACAAAGCTGACTCTTGCCATGAGAGAGAAGACTGCATATCTTTGGGAACAGACCATGCAGTCTTGAATTTGATTAGCATCATCCATTATTTGCAATGTCCTTAACGGTTTATGACATATAAAGAGGGAGGAGGTACCTCAGGGGAAGAAGAACTGGCTTTAACAAACAGGAAGAAATTACCTGTAACTTGTATCTATGTTGTAAGAAGCCTCTGTCAGTTCTGTGAGAGTCATAAAGTTTGGAATTACTCTGCTTGCTTCCCACTTGGTCCATTCAAACAGTCCTGGTTCCACTCTGATTTTGACTTTTTGGTCTAATTTAAGCCCTGCAAAGACAAGCTGTATTTCTTAAAAAGAAAAAGGTATACTCAAACTGTTACATTTGGGCAGTACATTCTGTTTTGTTTGCTGAAATATTTTAATTAACCAAATAAACTGCTTATTGTTGAAAAAAAGAGGGTCGTGTTTAAATGAAGCCAACATATTCTTGTCTGACTAATGTTAGGACACACAAAAAATTACACATTTTTATTATATTATGTTATGGCTATATTGCTATTATTATTGTTGTTATTTCTGGAGTTCTCTTGTGATACCTTCAAAGTATAGAAGTGAGCAAAAGACCTCAGCAATGTTTCAATCTGAATAAACTTTATAAAGGAAATGTCTTTTTTTACCCATTTTTATATAACATTTTGTACAGTGACCCTCTGTGGGGCAATAAATCATTCTGCAGAAGAATTTTAATTTAATTCTGTTGTAAAAAGATACATTCTTTTGTTTATTATTCTCAAGAGAGGTTACGGGGTTGCACCATTTCCCATAAGAAATGCACACATTCTACTGAAGATGTAAGGATGATGATGAACTGTGAGCCCTTCACAGATCTACTAGAGGGGAGAGGTGAGGAACAGTGAGAAGAGAGAATGGAAGAGGAGGAAGGAAAGAGGTTTGAAACATGAAGGAACTAAACTCCTTTGGCTTGCAATAAATAACCACAAAATTGTACACAGAATCATTAAAGTCTGAAAGACCACGAAGATCATCTATTCCCTGGGCAGCCTATTCCAGCACCTGACCACTCTTTCTGAGAAGAAATGGTACCTAATTTCCAACCTCTACCTCCCCTGGTTCACTTGAGGTCACTATCACCATGACTTCTCTTACTATCACTATTACCTGGGAGAAGAGGCCTACTCCCATCTCTCCACAACCTTCTTTCAGGTGGCTGTAGAGAGCAACAAGGTCTGCCCTGCGCCTCCTCTTCTCCAGACTGAACAATCCCAGTCCCCTCAGCTGCTCCCCATCAGACCTGTGTTCCAGACCCATCTCAGCTCCACTGCCCTTCTCTGGGCACACCCCACGGCCTTGATGTCTTTCTTGTAGTGAGGAGCCCAAATCTGAACACAGAATTTGAGATGTGGCCACACCAGTGCTAAATACAGAGGGATGATCACCTCACTGCTCCTGCTGGCTACCCTCAGAAACTTGATGGCAGTTTGACAGTACATTTTCATTTTTTATGCCTTACCTTGTAGTACATGTTGGGCTGTCTGTATGCAGCGTAGGGCAGGCGATGAGTATATGTAGCTGACTGTCACCTCCTGGTCCAGCAGAGCTTCCCCTAGTGGGAACAGCAATGTGAGGTGCTGTTTCACTCATCACTGTAAGTGAGAAATTACTGCAAAAGTGTTTCAGTAAAAAAAGCTGGGACCAAGCGTTGGAAAGGTAATTACAGAAGAATGTCTCAAAATCTGCCAACAGCAGATAAGCATTTGCACCAGACTTCTATTGTCAACATCAGACGTGCATGCTCAGGGTGCAGAAATAACTTTGGTGAGCGAACTGAGTCAGACTAACCCATATCATCCAGCCAGCAGTTTTATTTGTGATAAGCTGACCACAGTCTGCTGACCACGAAGCTGTGTCCTCCAGCCAGCCCCATCCCTCAATGACAATTGAATGAGACATTACACCCTTGTACATGTGCAGCACGGCACAGGTAGTGTTGCAGTTTCCTTCTTTTAACTGTCTTGTCCAGGAACTGGCAGACTGGGTCTCTAAGATGAACAATCAGCCTCTCTCTCTATCTTACTGTTTAACAAGATCTTGCAGCAGTTGTCCATCCAGAATGGTTACCACAAACAATGCTGCTAGCAAGTTTCTCTACTACTAGGCCAGTGTGAGCTTTGCCAGATGTTGAAAGATTGCTTCCCAAACCCATACAGTTGTGGTAGGATATTATCCATCTTACCTATAAGTCTTGACTGGAAAATGCCGCAGGAAGATAAAGGAGGATCATGCTCAAAATGCTTTACGCTGTCTTTCCGTTTTGGTAGGATGGAAGGAAAGTTGAGGTCCGCTCTGTAGTATTTTCCTAAAACAAGGTGGAACATTTTGCTGTGATGTGAGGGAGGCAGCAACAAAACACACTGGCTGCCTTTCGTTGTAATGGCTCCATTCATTTTGAATTCTCAGACCAGAATTATATTTCTGCTGGCAAATAAAAACAGGTTGGAGCCCTGTTAAAAAATCCCAGTGACTACTAATTACCTCAAATAAAACACATTTTAAGTTCGCAACACTGACTTGGGAAATCACCTGTCCTAACAAAATAACACCTCTTCTGCAAGCTCCAAAGGAGCAAAAGAAGGGAGTGGAGGAGAAAGAACACTGAAAGGTGGACGTGTCTGATAAGCCCCAACCAGGTCATTTGAATAACTAATGGTAGAGATTTTATGTTTTGTGCTTCTGTCAGCGATATGTATGAATCGTACCAGAGCAATGTTTGTTCTGTGGTGTTTATCCAAAACAAACACAAAAGACATAAGGTCCAGGCTGGACCAGGCTCTGAGCAACATGGTCTAGCTGCAGATGTCCCTGTTCATTGCAGGGATGTTGGACTAGATGGGAGGCTTTAAAGGCCTCTTTCAATTTTAAGGTTTCTATGTTTCTATGACATGATGATGGTTAGGTGCAGGTCAAAGAAATGTTGTGTCTGACTGTGCATCATTATTCACTCTTCTGTGTCAGCATTTACAGCTACAGGTAGAAGCCTGTATCCATTGTACTCCGTTACTGGGGTAAAGAAGTTTTGGCTCAGGTTTGCTCAGAATCTCCCATTATCTTACTCACCATCTGCAGTTAAGCACTGTTGAAGCCAAGACTTCCCAAAGACCTGATCAACTCTTTCCCCATGGCGCATCACCAGCACACCTCTTCTCAGATTGGTGTTCTGAGAAAGCTATATAAAAATTACTTTCCGTTACAACATTATATACAACCTGCATGAAAAAGTCTGCATTTCTGGATGCTGTCTAATAGAGCAAAGACCAGCAGGGCTGTCCCAAGAGATAAATAACAACCACAGAGGGGGAGAGAATTAAATTGATAAAATGGATTAGAATATTTAGGACAAAAATAAGCTTGACTAAATCTCTGTTGAAAGCAAATGAAGAGTATCTCTGATCTTCATGGACTACAGGTTACATTTAAATTCAGTGTTTATTCTAGTGAAAGGTAGTACTGATAAATCTTTTAATTCCACTGTGGGAAGGAGTTAATTAGTATGTATTGTGTAATTGATACAAACAAAAAGGGAAAGTAGCTAGCTGATTTAAGTCATAATATTCTTTTCTAACATCAATCCCCTTTTTTTTTTTCCAAATGAAAACAGAGATTTTACATTTTTCCAACAGAGTATGGCCAAATCATTAGTGAGCCCAGGTCTCATCTGAGCCCTTGTTTTCCCTTAATTTGCATGAGGCTGCAAATATGTTCTAAGTATGTAGGAATTAGTTTACAATGAATATAGACAGAGAGGAAAAGATAAGGAAGAATACCTCAAAAGCTTTAAAACTTTTTAAAAAGCAATTCATCACAGCATTATTGTTGCAACACCAAGGTTAATGATGTGCATCTTCAATAACAGAGAGGGGAATTCTTAAGAAGTGGTGTGAGATATATTTATGTATATATATATATTGCTAATTACTGCTTCATTTCTGCTGTAAGGCACCAATCAACTGCTATGAGATCAGAGTTAAAGGTTTTGTGGTCTAGATATTCTGCCTGGGAGGAGCTCATAGGCCGGGGAAATGCGTAGACTGAAGATGTGCACATCTGCAAAAAATGTTCTTAAGGGCAAGCAGTGGCTCTGCCATGGATCCAAGAAAGATAAAGGGTTAAAGAGCACACATGAGTTGGTGGAAGGACATATAGCTCCTGCAAAAGTGAGTTTTGTAAAAGATGGCAAGGGTAATACCACATTACATCTACTACAAAATATTTGTGGGATATGGTACTGTAAATGTAGGTGCAGTGTATGCATACGCTACATATATTCACTACAATATAACATGAAAATGTTAAGGAGAATCAGGAAGATAGTATTAAATTTAATATATGCTTTTACTTAATAGCATATCATGCACAACTACATGGCAAAGATAAGAAATAAAATCCCAACTACCTGAAGTGAAAGAACATCGGTTACACTCCTTGACATAACAGGATTACGGACTTCTCCATTCGGCTTAACATTAGGTTCATTTGTGGATTGGGCCAAAAATTTTGAAGCTAGCACAAAAGCATATTCCCTGTAGAAAAAGTAAAAGTTCACACACAACATATGAGCACACACAAAAACAAAGGGATTTCTAAGTCCGGATTTTGTCCATAGGCATAGACAACCAAGATTCCATATTCCATTCAATATATTTCACACACATGCAATCCATTTTATCACTTTGTTCAAGTTGTAATCTGTCCAGTAAAAATAAGAGTAACTTATATGAACTGACGACATGCATTGGATGTAAATATTCTGAATTTTGAGCTTCAAGCAGGAAATAATACTTGATTGTCACCACTCTGCCTCTAAGGGCTCAGCACGGATGAAATCTATACCTCTTGCTTAGAAAAATTAGATCTAATCTAGAAGAATCATTTGCCACACAGGAAACCAGTGAGATGCCTACTGATAAAGGTTGAATTGACAAGGCAAGGGTGAGCACAAGGTGTTGGAGTAACCTTTCCATGGTTTAATTCATTTAATTTCAAGTTGGTTTTGCTACCTCCTGAAATGAGACAAAAGAAGAAACACTGGAGGTGCTAAGGGCCAGGTTGGATGGGGTCCTGGGCAGCCTGATCTGATGGATGGCAGCCCTGCCCATGGCAGAGGCTTGGGGCTGGGTGGCTTTAGGATCCTTTTCAATCCAAATCATTCTGTGATTTTGTGCTTCACATTATTCAAGAGCGCAGGAAGGCTATCCTTCGAGCAGCTGGATTCCAGGTTTCTGTGTGCATGTGTCCTATCACTTCTCGTTAAGAAATTTCATTTTCCCACCCAGATACCAAGGTGCCCTCTGCTCACCTCACCTCCAGCTTTCTCCCAGCAGCAAAGAGGAACAGCAGCTCCATAAAACCCTTGCACCATGAAACCCCAGAAACCCCAGCACTCGTGGAGTGGATCACGACCAACCTGTGCTTAACCCACGTGTCTGACTCATTGGCTCTCTCTGTGTAGTTTTCAGGAAGAAAACCCCTGCACCCACTCTGGTGTGAGGTCCCGATGACCCAACCTTCGCTGACTTCGGACTGCTGAGTTGGGTTGACGTAGATGAAGTCCCCAGCATTGATCATGAGCTCGTCAATATTCTGGGGCTTGTACTGGAAGAGAGCCCGCAGTGTCTGATGGAAGAACAGAGCTGAGTCAGGCCTGAAGCTGGCTGCAGGGGCAGCAGCATGCAGGGGACATGCGCTAAACCTGCAGCAGCCACTGCCATCAGCACCATTTCCCACACTGCAGCATGCTCTGACTTGCTTCTTCAGCAGACAGATAACCGTGAATAGGCACTGAGTGTAAAAATAGGCACTTCGTATTCATAATATTACTTTTTTTCCCCCCGTAGTTAGTGTGACATATTTGAAAGCAGACACAGCAAAAGGATTATCAGCTATTTCGGTGATTACTTGTAGTTCTCTCAAGTCAAAATATGAGATTCAAAACAAAACAATATACTTGTCCGGATTAAAAAAAATAGCAGTTGTTTGTCATTCTGTAGTTTAAATTTGGAAATGAAAATGGGGAGAATATTGACTGTTTAAAACTAAGAATATGGTAAACTGAAGTTGACCAGGGAGAACATTGCCCTGCTCACTGAAGTTTAACCTGTGCCTTTTCATCACTGTTGAACAATTAAAAAAAAAAACTTATTCTGCTGAATGGAATTTTACTGCAGAGCAGTGATTTGACAAGGAAATGTTCAAAGGTCATCATTTCCTGTCTCTTTTATTTTCTCATAGCTCATTGTAAGATGAGTTCTTCTGCTGCAGTTTGGGATTGGATCTTGCTGACACGCAGGTCAAGCAGGTAACCATAAACATATCTCCTATAGACTCAAGAATACAGTTTTTTCAGCCCAAAGAGATACTTGAAGCAGCCATACATTCTGAACACTGTACTGTGCATGTACTGATTTTCCCCATGGAAAACAAAACAAAACAAGCAAGAGGACTGCAGGAAATATACTAACTACAGACCCAGAAATTGAATAAACCCAATGACAGTACCTGGTAATGCACAAAACGCATGTCCCTTGAGTAGAGAGCAGCTACCCAGTGGCAGGTCTCCTCTGGGTTAATGTATTTGGCGAGTTGCTCCAAAGTCTTCTGGTGGTGAGGACAGAACTTGTGAGCCAAGGTAAGGTGGAGCTGCTTTAGGCAGGGCTTCACATGACAGTCTAGGAATAAAGCAACCAACTTATATCATGACTTACAAGGAAAGGCCGTTTAAAGTTCTTTGTGCTTTATCCTGCATGCTTTGCATGATTCAGGAAATATCTTTGTAATTAGTAGAAGAGTAGACCATAGTTTTATTAAATAATTGTTTTACCAGATGTCATGGCTTTATTTATGCCAAAATAATTCAGAAATCTGGACTGAATTGGAGCCTTTGCTTAAGCTGAGAGGAAAAACAAATTGTTGGAATTCCTTTCCCAGTCTGACGTATAGAATTTGTCTTTCCCAGACCAAGCTATCCAAAGGCTGCAGTGTTTCAGTCTCCACTGATGGCTGAAGTTTCCCAGTGTCATGGGAAATGCTTATATGTTGTTTGTTGCACCAGTGTCTGGAAGCATGTGTCTGCTCCTAGGAGGTTATAGAGGTCTCCCTTCCTTAGTTCCGTAAGCTTGGTTTAAAATATACTTCTTCATTTCCTTATTGTATTTATTACCCTGACAACTGTGAATGTAAAAAGCACTTCACCCATTGGTGGTATGAGCGTAAAAAATGCTTGCCCTTGCTATGATGAACAGTGCTGGGGGTGTGGGAGATCCCCATCTGGCACACAACCACTAAAAGGAGATGGGTGACTCAGATTCAGGAGGAGACAGACTTATGTGAGCATGAGGGAAAACCCAGGCACAATGGGCTGCATTTCTTTGCTTTTTCATTTCCGCCTTCCTCCTCAGCCTGGCCACAGAGTTGAATGTCCCCAGCGTGGAAAGGTCTGTCTTCCCAAGGCTGCATGTGAGACAGAGAACTGAGTATAGATAAGATTTGGTTTATTTCCTCCAAACATGTATTTTCTCTTTATTTCTGTCCTCACACAATCATGGCACTGCTCCCTGATGAAGAAAAGGCGAAATAGAGGTTGGGTACAGAGGTCTAGGGGTATTTAGGAGTAGATCTCTTTCTATCTTATATATCCTGATCCTGATGAGCTCTCAAGTTATACTGACAAACATTTCAGCTTGTGGGCCAATATAAAAAAAGTAAACCAAAGAAAACCAGAAAACAACAAACGAGATGAAGTTAATCCCACAGAAATTACTCCGTAACAGGTCAAAATGGAACAACCTCTGGTCATTTCAAAACGCATTGTGAGCAGCACAGCGTAAGTGCCCAGAAAACAAAGATCTCATATTGTTTTAAGGGATTGCTGCTTGAAAGATATTGCCAGGCAAAACCTTTGCCTGGATTTCCTAAATAGAATAAATTTATGAAGACTTCTAGCATTTTTCATTTTTCTTGTTCATTTTTTCTTTTCAACAAAAACCTCCTGAACAAAAGCAGCATATCTTCAGAGTCTAAATCAAGCTCCTCTAGCCACGTTGCTTTTGAATCTGTAGGAGGAAAATGTGCTTGCCAGCAGTAAAACATCTGCTGCACTGCTGTGGAGACACGGGAGATAGTTTCGTTATCATGTCTAAGCACTGCACAACAGCCCACTCATTTTCCCTCTCATGCTGATCCCACCTGCTAGGGCTGAAGCCTCTGAAGAGAAGGCCACAGCAAACTCTTTGAGGATATTCGCATGGCTGTCACCAACAAAGAAACCGATGTAGCTGGTGGATGAGTGTAGTGATAGGGAAATAGTTGGTGGAAATCTCTGTGCAAAGCTGTTGCAGATTCTCTTTAAGATGTCATACAGTAACTCCACTTTCTGGTCTTCACACTGAAAGAAAACAGAGGAAGGACATCCTTTACCCTCTAAGATCAACAGACACTGTGGCAGCCTGTCTTGTAAAGTTACACCAGAAAACAGGATGGGCATTACTTCCTTAGAAAGATAACACACCTACAAACATGCCTGAAATTCCTGGTATTAAATTTATTAACATTAGCCAGCTTGATCAGCGGTGTCTTGATACTGTATTAGGAGATGGGGTCTTTTACCATTAAGTGAAGGTAGAAAAAGCAAGAGATTTTACTATCTGAAGTAATCTGAAATGAGGCAGAGATCATGACTTCTCCAATTCTAAGTAAGAATTTTTATTATTGTTATTCTATGGTCCTTTGCTCTGGTAAAAAATTTAAGAACTGAGCAATGTACATAGGAAAGTTAATATGGAATCTTTGTACTCTTTTGTCCCCTAGTTACAGCAAATTAAAGGATTGTACAAAGCAACACTTCCACAAAAAGTGTCAATTAAACAATTTAAGAAGTAAATAGAAAAAGATGGAATTTGTGCCATCCAGCCAAAGTCACAGGTGTTAATGATGCTCCAGTTCCACACTGTTGTTTTTTTTTTCCTTAGCAGAGCTATTTCCTCCTTTCAGGCACAGGAGATGCAGTGTCGGGAAACAGGAGAGGTTGGGCTGGGAGGTAGGAGCAGGGCAGTGAGTCTCACATCCTATATGGGACGCACACAGGTCATCTGTCACTGACAGCTGAGGAACATAGAATAGCACTGGAAGGTGTGCATTCATCCCTAGAAATACACTATCTGAAACAGAGCTGAGGTGTGTGAGGTGAGGCTTACAATTCAGACATCTCTTCCAGAGTCAGAACCTTTAAACTCAACACTTCTCACAGAGCACAGCGTTCGTTATTAATGTTTTTTGGTTTGCATAATTGTGACGAATGGCTGCAGGGCACCACGCTATTCTATATTTTGCAACAAAATGCTTGCATTTTCATTATGCTCAGCATTTCACATCATAGTACGATTTACACAATTATTTTTTGCAGCTGCTCTATAGCAATAGTAACATAACAATAGCCTGTTAGCCTGGAATTTCCAGGTTGTCCAGTTCCACCAGTAGTTACTTTTTGTGTCTCACCGTGAAGAAGTCACAGAGTGTGATGTGAGGGAAAATCTCATGGGCTCTGTTCTTCCCGCACTGGCGCTTGCTCTCCTTCCAAAACTCTTGCAGGCAGTTAAACAAGTGGCCAGTGGGGCACAAATAAAGAGCATATTCCTGGGGGATAGGGTCATCCAAAGAAGGATCGTTGCAGTGAGAGTGCAACCTGAAATCAAAACATATCACACAGAGAAAGCATGTGAGCCACCTACTCTTCTTTTCTTGGCTTCCTTGGGTGTACACCATGAGGTCCCATGAGACACAAGCACTGTGCTGAGGCAGGGAGCACATTTACTGTGATGTAGCTCTGAACGCCTTTCTGGCTATGCCCCATGCATGCACACAATCACGGCTCAGATACTATAGCCCCATTGCAGTGAACAGCCCACAATTAAGAAGGACACTTAAAATTGGGGATCACCCAGAGCAGCCAGTTCCCCAGTCCTGTGAGACACCTCTGTGGTAAAAGTAGTTTCTTGTGCCCAAGAGTCTCTTTTTGCTCCACAGATCTTGATTTACCCCAGACCTTCTGCAAATAATCTTACTTCCCAGAATCAATGTAAATATAATTATTTCTTTCTGTGATGAATTAAAATGAAAAACAAACAAACAAACCTCATGTGCAAGGTCTTTAAAAGCAGCTAACTTCAAATTGAGTAACAGAGTCAGTATGCAAACAAGTGTTTTTAGTCAGTTTTAATGTGAAAGCACTCCTTAGAAATCACAGGCGCTTACCATTTTGCAGCATCTTCCACTGACTTTTGACCAGTAGCAACCAAGGCTTTTTGCCTAGAAAAAAAACCACAAACCAAACGAAAACGAAGTGGATTCATCAGAATAACAGAAAACATTAAAATTGTTTTCTATGACTTTAATAAAATAAAGAAGAATGGACATGCTGTGACAACCAGTTCTATTTTTCAGCACAATGTATACCTATAATAATCTAACCTATAATGACAAGGTTATTCCTGGCACATAGTAATGATCTTGAAGCCCTCCAGATAGTCAGCTCCATTGCATGTCTTTAATTCCTTGTAGACTGGTAATCTGCCCTTTCCACAGAACATCCACAGAATATATTTTGGAGAAGTTTGCTTAGCACCCCTACTGATTAAATTGGTTTCCTTAGGGTTTCTTCAGTTCTCCCTTCACACACTGTAAGAACGAGGTTTGCTCTGTTGATAAGAATTAATGAGAAGCCCAGATTCAAGTGCCAGATTCCACACATACAACCCAAGCAAAATATACTTATTTGGAGTTTGAAACTCCAGACTGAGGATTTCCCATAGCCCAGAAGAGAGCCAGACTCAAGCCACAAGTTAATTCCAAGATAACAAACAATATCTTAATTTTCTCCCCCTTTTATTCAACTGACATTTTTTGGAATCAAATTTGGTTCATATTTCCTTTTCATAGAATCACAGTATCTCCTGAGTTGGAAGGGGCACACAGCAATCATGGAGTCCAACTCCTGGCTCCACAAAGGACCACCCAAAAATCAAACCCTATGTCTGAGAGCATTGTACAGATGCTTCTTGAGCTCCGGCTTCTTGGGGCTGTGAGCACTGCTTGGGGCAGCCCATTCCATGCCCACCAACCTCTGGTGAAGAACCTTTTCCTAACCTCCAACCTGGCCTTCCCCTGTTTCAGTTCCCACAGGTTTTATCGCTGGTCATCAGAGAGAGGAGAATAGCTAGAGCTTTCAAAATGCCACTGACATCCTTTATGTGACAGAGTCTTTGTGAGTAAATGCTGAGTTTTTGGAGGTTGAAGGATTTCCAGAGTTTAAGTAGCACCTGCACCCATGAACCTCATTTCCAGCCCTGCAATCCACCCGTAAACTTCTCAGAAGTGACATGAAGGGGAATGAGAGACAGTAGAAATGGAAGACAAACTGCCAAGTTACTCCACATCTGCTTATCCTTCCTTCTTTCTTGAGGTTATCTTTTCTGACCGCTGTGTGCTGAGGGCATCCATTTGTTTAACTTAATCCTCACATTTTTATCCTCCCTCCATCCATATGGCATCTGTGCATGTACTAGAGTGCCATAAGTACATTAAAGAGCAAGTCTTAATCTTGCTGTGGTTGCTTCTTCCCGGACTTTTCTTTCTAATGCAAAACTACATATGGGTTTGTTAAAAACAATGAAATGTGCATATGTGCATGTGCAACCATACTTGGCTTCTTAGTGGAGGATCAGCACAGCTGAAGACTAACTCGAATCTTTTCACTCAAGCTCTAACATCTACCTTTCTCCTCTCTAAAATTAGAATTGACGACTATGGCCAAATCAATCCCAAAACCATGAGCTAGTTGATCAAAAGTGACTCTGTTTCCTCTGTGACTTGCATCTTTTTTTTTCTGCCTCTCTGCTGATTCTCCCTTCTCTGTCACGTCAAACATGAACAACTTATGTTTTCTTTGTGCTCCCCATGCTTTTCCTGTCATACCGTGATGGAATGTAAATGCTTACGGCTGCTTGGCCAGAACTGCCAGCCTTTGTCACCTATTGCTACACTTCAATGTGAATGTTTTATCACTTTATGCCATGCTGCTCCTCCCATTTGGTGACAAGCTCTTTGTAAACAGCCCCAAAGACAAGCAGAGCTTGACAGCAGCTTTTCTTTACATTGACTCTGTGCAATCATAAAAGTAATAAGACCATTGGAGACCTGAGGCCACGGCCTGTCACGATGCTCAGCATCATCTCTTTGCTCCCCCATGCTCCTCTCTGTGTCTGTTTCCATCTTTCATCCCATCACATAGGTTGGTAGTAGAATCTTTCCAGCAGGGTTTCTCAGCCCCCAGTGTTAACAAAATATTAGGCTGTAATTAGACATCCTGTGCTTCCAAGATGAGCAGTAGAGGTTGAAAAATAATGCATATGATAAATTCTATACATGCCTAATTCTTTCAGATAGGAAACAATAGGAATCCAAATTCAGATCCAAATAATAGGAATAAATCATTTAAAATTTGCATTAAAAGTAATGTATTTATGGGGAGAACAAGCTGGTTCTTTCCTAAAGCAGAAAACAGCTATCACATTTCTGTTCTATCAAAGCATGGGATATTCATTATGCTCACTTGCTGGTAGGCTCTATCAAGTATTTGTGCTTTGTTCTTTCTAAAAATGTTGCTTTTGCATGCTGGTCCTATATTATGAAAGATTTCATAGTATTTCCAACAAGCCTTATTTTTCATAGGCCAGCATGTCACAAATGAGCTATTTTTCAGAACTTTCATCTATGTTTGAAGCCAGAACTTACAGAAACAACTAAGAAGTTTTATAAACTACAGTCCAAATTTTCAATGTGTTAAAGTCTGCAAGGATAAACAAATCAATAAAGTGCTTTTGGACTTTTTGCCATTTTATGTTGACTGCATTGCACTTTGTTCACTGTATCTTGATTTTGACCTAGAAAGCACAAAGCCACGTCAATCATCGGAGAAAATGTTTTGAAGGCAATTTTTGAAGTCTCCATTAGACCTTATTTTGGGATGACCATACTAATGCTATCTACTAGAGAAACCATCTTTAGATGTGATGCGCACAGTTTACAGGGAAGTTGATCAGGCTCCATTTTTTAGGAACACGTGGTACTTGGCGAACCATCTTTAGATGTGATGCGCACAGTTTACAGGGAAGTTGTGGGTTCATTATTCCTGGCTATGCTCAGTGGAATTTTAGCTGTGGAGCTTAAAATCTGTTCCTAAAAAATGGAGCCTGATCAACTTGTTTAATTTTCACTCTAGAATCAAAATGGAGGTTACAGAGATACTGATTTCCTTTTTCAAACACTTAAGTGAGAACTTGGACATTCTAATATTTTCTTCAGTCATAAGTCCATGGCACAACTGTCTGCCACCACAGAGTTCAGACTTTCCCTTCAGAAGTTTGTTGATGCTCTGTGAAACCTCCAAACCTCTCTTTCTGACCAGAGGGGAAGGAGTTACCACCAAGTAACTGAGTTTTTATTAACAAGTTTTTATTAACTGAGTTTTTATTAACTCCATTGGAAGTGCTGCCACCAGTTCATCCTCCCTCAAATGGAGCTGCCAAGGACAGGGCCTGACATTTTCCAGGTAGGACATGCTTTTGAAACAAGATTCATATTTAGGACAGAAAGAAAAAGGGACAGACTCATGTGGCATCTTGTTAAGGAAAGCTTACCCTTTTAAAACAGTCTCCTGTGACAAAACCCAGCAAGAACTTTTTTTTTTTGCCAGGCCTGAAAATATCTTTGTATAGACGCTAAATCCACATTTAGTTCCCTTGTAATAACAGTGGCAAGTAGAAAAAAATGAAAGGATTTATCGCAAGACTGAATTATAGATATCAACTTCTTTACTCATTGTGAAGTCTCTCAAACTCCAGGTGCAGAAGAGCATGTGTCTTCAGATATGCAGAATAGTTTTAGAAATGGATACAGAACAAGTTGTTTTAGCAATAATATCAGTACACAGTGAGACAGACCTGCTCCTCCTATGAAGACATCAGCCCCAAGACGCATCTCGTTCTCTTGATGGAAAATGCAAGCTGTCTGCATTTAAGTAGATACAAGAAACACCTCTCACTGTACAAAAGTAGCTGAAAACATTACTCACGCAATGTGAGCTGGAAATCCTTTGGCCAGGAGAGACTCGAGGAGTGCAGAAGGGCTTTTGCTCCTGCGTTTGTTGGACACCTTTGCATACAGCTGCGTCTCAGCCACCGCCATCTCCTCTTCTTTCCCTCTAGCTGTGCTTAGTGCTGACAGAAATTAGGAGGGGGAGGAGGAAGGGAGCAAGAAAATGAGAGAGAAAGAAAGAGAAAGAGGCAGCTAAAATAAAAAAAACCTCAAACTTCTTGTGATCTTCTCTGACAAAAGCTGACATCCTGTTTTCATAACCTGTGCGTCTTTGAGTTTTTGTTTTAAAGTAGTTAAAAAAGCAAAAGTACCTGCAGGCTGTTCCCATCTGTGCTAGTAGAATGGGACGCGTTGTCCAAGGGAAAACGTAAGAGTCAGGGTGGACTTGCTAAACAGTCTGAGACTGGATCTTCATTTTAAATTCTCTTCTGGAAGCCAAGAAATCCATCTGAGCTTTTATTGGAGAGGAAGGGGACCTCCTGCATCATAAAAGAAGTTATTTTGTAGGCTCAACTCATTCCTCTTGGTCTCAGTGTTCATATTCTCCAGCTTCAGCTGTACTTGGACCATTTTATGGCCACAGCCATAGTCCACCAGCTGATCAGCTGTTCAAAGATAAACCAGGTGCCTCATCTAGACACAATGCCCTGGGTCTGTGCTTGGAGCAGTTCAGAGAGGCAGCTCAGTGAGGCCTGTGCTTCCAGACAGTGCTGTCCTACTAATGGAGACTTCAAAAATTGGATCTGGCCCATCCCCGGGACATCCAGGATGGTCAGAGCAGGCAAAATTGCAGAGGCAGCTTTCCCCAGCCTGGGCTATCCCTGCTGAGGGTACCACTGTTACCCAGGAAGGATGGGAATGAAAGGGTCTCTAGAGCTGCTGGTCTCAAGAAAAAAGCTGTCACTATCTCCTTCTTGGCTGAAGTTCCCCATGGGGCACCTCAGCAGTCTGAGCTGCCTCTCCCAGTCTTTACCGCTGAACCCTGGTAGCCTGAGGAGAGCATTCAAGCAACCCAAAAGGCACAACCTGGATGCGAGCAGTGAACGAAGTGATGTTGTGCTCTGTCCTTTTTAAGTGCCAGCTTCCGTTCTGCACGGTGAAGGGACTGATCGGTTTCCCTCACTGCAGGAAGACCCAGAGAAGTGTTTTCATGGAAAACCTTCATTTCTTCCATGGTCTCTAAGGAGTCTTGTTTCACTTACACTACCACTGCCTTTTACTTTAGCTCTCTTCCTCCTTCTTCCCTCCACCCTCCCTTCAGCAACATCTCTGTATTTACTGAAAAGCTGCAAGCCAAATTAGGACTACTTTTGAGTATTTTACAAAGCTGAACATACATTTTCATTTTCTAAATCCAGACTGCAAATAAGTTGATGCTACACTCTCAGTATAGGCACACTGTTTTCAGGAATGAGTTACTGCTTGCAAAGTATTTCCAAAAGACTGTGCAGTGTCTGATTATGGAAGTTATCCACAATTAACATACATGTGTGTTTTTTTTCCCCACAACCCCCTGTTTAAATGTGCTGTTTGCTATGAGCACACAACAAAGGGTAAGGAAGTGAAGAAGGAGCAGCATCATCCAAGGGTTCTGTATGACAACATGAAGAAACACCTGGGCCTCTGCCTGCTGCCACTCGGGGCTGCAGGCAGACTCCTCCACTACACAGTTTTTGATAAAAGATGAGCAAGCACGAGCCTGTGCGGTTTAACTTCAGTGGTATTTCTTTGCCTGGAAGGTTACAGAAAGGTTTGTAAATACTGCAATATTACTTTACGCTCTTAGGATGATTAAAACGCGTGCTGAATTTTTATCTCACCCTTTCCGTAGCCATACCATCCAAAGCTACCTGATATCCATCCCCAGGTTGGATTTCACAGCCGTCTCCACAAGACTGCCTGTGACCAGTGGCTGAACGGGTGGCCCGGGGCGACTCGGGAAACCTCTCAGAGTGGGCTGGCTTAGCAACCTCAGGACTTCCTTTTGGCTTCTTTTGATGATGAAGAGAGAAAACAGTTTTGCTTTTAACTATGACTTCTCAGGAAGAGGTGAGTGAAGCTTTGGGAGGGCGTGATGTCCTCTAAAGAAGTGACGTGTCTGTGCTTATCTCTCATGTAGTTTATACTTCTCAATGCTGTTTTACTTCCAGATGAACAACTTATGCACCGGTTAGGAGGGTTTTAAGGGTAGAAGACTATTAAAAATGTTTAAAAATCATGTACAGCAAACCGTCCTTTTATCTGCCTTAAAATTAGTGGGATACATACGAAGTTTAATTTATGGTCATTGAAATGAAAATTGGACTTTATCAAAAGAAAGAGTAGAAACCTCATTGCAACTCTTTGCTGAAAGGTGAAGAGATATTCCATGTGATTAGAGATTAGTGCCACCAACAAAACACATATACTTTGCCTAAAATGTGTCACTATAAATATTTTCTGGGACTGATTTGACAAGCACTTGTGTTGCTTTTACACCTTACCAACTCCACTGTCTTTAGCAATCCTGGACCTATTTCACACCATCATGAGGTCAAAAACCTGATACCTTTTGTCACTGATAGTGCTCGGAACTGAAGCTAGAACTCAGAATTTTGAAGCTGCTTACCTTGAGTTCTGGTGTGGCCCATTTTAATAATTCTTCACTGTATGGAAAGAGATTAAGGGTTTTCTGGGCTAAAATTCATTCTGCCCAAGCATGAGGTTGCTGCCAGGTACTGTACAGGTGTAATGTGCTTTTCTGTCTCTCTTGTTTCTGATTGCAATTAAAGAGAGTACCTCACAGGGGTTAGGTTGAAATTTAAGGGAAAAAAAGAAGTCAAAGTTATTGAAAGTTCTTACACAAACTTGAAAATAATTTAACTTCTAAAGTTGCTGGTTAATTAATTACAAAAGCTTCTCTCATGAAGTATGGCTTCTTTTCTCATGAAGAAATGGTTTATTTTGGGCAAACACAGTATTCTTGCAGGTGTGTCTGAGGATTCATTTTTTATCTGCATTGCATGGAAGAAGAATTATCAATGGGAGTAGGAAGAAAATATCCTTTCATATCAGAAGAAGAGTGTCAGATTATTTGAGGTTACAGAAATAATTTGCTTAAATATTGTCTTTTTATTTCTTCTTTTGAGCCAGGCTCAAGGGGCAAATCCCACTACTGGAAGTCTTGAAATCATCTCTATTACAGAAGATGGACCGCCAGTACCAGAAATTCAGTTCTCCTTCAAAAGATTTTTCAGCATACAAGTGAGAGTTGATCCCAGTGCAGATGGATCTGGTAGGGATGCTGCATAGCGTTTTGACCTTTGTAATCTGAACAGCTAATTAGCTTGCCCACACATTCAGAGAAAGCAATTACTCGGAGCAACAAGAAACACAACCTCACTCCCCCAGCCGTGAGATTTGCCACCATATCAGCAGCTGATGACATCTTGTGCTTGCACGCACAAGCAGTTTTTATAGACAGATTATCCACACACTTCTGCCACATAGCAGATATTTACCCACGCTTTTCTGACAGTTTTCATTGGCTTTTGAAATTTTCCCAAATTGGAAATTCAGCCTGTTAAAAAAAAACTGAATGCACAATATAACAGTCTGTAGGAGGAATAGCAAACATATTGGTTATTACTTCCTGTAGGTTTCATGGCAAATATGCTAACTGCAGCTGTACAAAATTTTGGATATCAGACACCAACTCCATTGTCAAAATCAGTTGCTCAGTTGCTTTAGGGAGGGTTTGGGAAGGTTGGAATTTACCTGTGATTCTATGAGCACTGGGAGACACTCAGTATCCTTGACTGGTTCTAAATTCCTGCTAAGCTTAGATTCAAAGCTTGAAGAAGTGGGTTAAGAGCTGCATGGGTTAAAATTGACAACAAGGTTCTACCAGCTCTTGTGTATATGCACGAGAGAGCTGTGTAGGCTATTTTCTCATACTTTGCACTTTGTGTGTCAGAATATGCTTGTCACAAGTGAACCATTCCTTATTTTCAATGGAATCCATTGTTTTTTTTTTTTTTCTGAATCACAGTGCTACCAAGTTGAGGTCAGCTACAGAGGTGAACAGTGAATGGGATCATTCCTGCTCATGAAATGCATTCAGCAGTTCCTGCTGGTGTCTATTTAAACTTCAGATGCATCTTTTTCCTTGAAAACTGAATCTCAGCACAGGGCTATTACTTGGTTCTTTTCTTGCGTTTACAGTAAAATTTCATCCAGATCACCTTTTTTTGACACTTTTTCAAGCTATCTTCTAATCTGGAGGTCCCATGTTTTTTTGCTTTCTACTGTTTTCAATTAACTTTGCTTCAAAGTCCAAAACGTTCTTCCTTCTTGCCTCGAACGCTATTTGTTAACAGGTCCTGTCTTCTTTCCAATATTCCCGTTTGCGTTCAAAGCTTTAGCACCTCTTCCTCCCTGACAGGAGTGTTCCCCCAGCACTGGAAGAGCGGAGCTGGTGCATGGGGCTGCACACTGTGCTCAGAGCACTGTGCAGCTGGGGTTGCTGTTGGAGGGAACACTGGGACCACAGATATGGTACAGGCAAGGGTCAGGAGATGTCATGGACAGGAATGACTGTAAATTGCATGCAGCAGTTGCTTCTTCATCTAGCTTAATGTTAGAGAAATCTTTTCATTGCAAACTCCAGCTGTTTTAACTTCACAGAAACTGTTATCTCTGTTTGGTTTCTAGGGGATATTGAACCACCTTCGATGTGCCAAGTATTAACCTCCCCCAAATACCTTCCATATGTCTGTGCTTTATTCTTTGTAGTAATCCTAGCAGTTGCCACTGGCCTGGGTGGTGAGTACAATTAGTTATTCATTAAGTTATTCATTAGTTATTCGTTCTCAATTAACCATTCTAATTCTTAATTTTTCATGAGCTTTTTACTTAGAATGGAATTAACCTGCTACTGCCACTTGCTAACTGAAGTATAAAGTCTTGCTGATGTGATGGCTTTACATTTTATTTACATGTACAAATAAAATAGATCTGGCACTCGTGACAAGATTGATGTAATACTTAGGACACAAGGGAACCTGTAGGACTAAGAAAACTCTCCAGTCACATTTCTCTGATTCCTCTTGAGTTGTGCTCTAAGAATTGAGAAGCCAAGGGGAGCTTAAGGTAACATGCATAGTTTTGTCTTGTAAATCAGTACTTTCAG